TTGAGGGTTTGGAGTTGGAGACACGCGGAGGAGCCATTGTTGGTGTTTCTAGTTGAGGATCGTGGAGCTGGAGTCCCGCGGAGGATCCAGTGTTGGTGCTTCTTGCTGAGAGTCATGGTGCTGGAGACCTGTGGAGGAGAAGCTGTTGGTGTTTCTAGTTAAATATCGTGGAGCTGGAGACCTGCCAGGAGCCGGTGTTGGTGTTTGTAGTTGAGGGTCATGTCGCTGGAGACCCGTGGAGGAGCCGGTGTTGGTGTTCCTAGTTGAGGTTTGGGGAGTTGGAGACCCGTGGAGGAGCCATTGTTGGTGTTTCTTGTTGACTGTTGTGGAGCTGGAGATATAGGGTGATGCGTTGTTTTCTAGTTTGTGGTTTGTGGAGCTGGAGACCCGCGGAGGAGCCGGTTTTCTTGTTTCTGTTTGAGGATTGTGGAGATGGAGACCTGCGGAGGAGCCCGTCTTGGTGTTTGTAGTTGAGGGTTTTGGAGCTGGAGACTCGCAGAGGAACTGCAGTTGGTGTTTCTAGTTGATGTTTGTGGAGCTGGAGATACAGGGTGGAGCATTGTTTTCTAGTTTGTGGGTCATGGAGCTGGAGACCAGTGGAGGAGCTGGAGTTGGTGTTTCTAATTGAGGGTAGTGGAGCTGGAGACCCATGGAGGAGCCGGAATTGGTGTTTCTAGTTGAGGGTCATCGAGGTGGCAACGGTGGAGTAGCCGCTGTTGGTGTTTTTGTTTGACGGTCATGGAGCAGGAGATACAGGGTGGAGCGTTGTTTTCTAGTTTGTGGGTCATGGAGCTGGAGACCCGTGGAGCAGGAGTTGGTGTTTCTAGTTGAGGGTCGTGGAGCTGGAGACCCATGGAGGAGCTGGAGTTGGTGTTTCTAATTGAGGGTCATCGAGGTGGAGTCAGCGGAGTAGCCTCTGTTGGTGTTTTTCTTTGAGGGTTGTGGAGCTGGAGATACAGGGTGGAGCGTTGTTTTCTAGTTTGTGGGTCACGGACCTGGAGACCTGTGGAGGAGCTGTTGATGGTGTTTCTGGTTGAGGGTCGTGGAGTTGGAGACACGTGGAGGTGCCATTGTTGGTGTTTCTAGTTGAGGATCGTGGAGCTGGAGACCCGCGGAGGAGCCGTTGTTGGTGTTTCTCGTTGAGGGTTGTGGAGCTGGAGATACAGGGTGGAGCATTGTTTTCTAGTTTGTGGGTCGCGGAGCTGGAGACCCGTGTAGGAGCTGGTGGTGGTGTTTCTTGTCGAGGGTTGCGGAGCTAGAGATACAGGGTGGAGCGTTGTTTTCTTCTTTGTGGGTTGTGGAGCTGGAGACCCGTGGAGGAGCTGGAGTTGGTGTTTCTAGTTGAGGGTCGTGGAGTTGGAGACCCATGGAGGAGCCGGAGTTGATGTTTCTAGTTGAGGGTCATCGAGGTGGAGACGGCGGAGTAGCCGCTGTTGGTGTTTTTCTTTGAGGGTCGTGGAGCTTGGGATACAGGGTGGAGCGTTGTTTTCTAGTTTGTGGGTCGTGGACCTGCAGACCCGTGGAGGAGCTGTCGTTGGTGTTTCTGGTTGAGGGTCGTGGAGTGGAGACACACGGAGGAGCCATTGTTGGTGTTTCTAGTTGAGGATCGTGGAGCTAGAGTCCTGCGGAGGAGCTGTTGTTGGTGTTTTTAGTTGAGGATCGTGGAGCTGGAGACCTGCGGAGGCGGCGTTGTTGGTGTTTCTCATTGAGGGTTGTGAAGCTGGAGATACAGAGTGGAGCGTTGTTTTCTAGTTTGTGGGTCGTGCAGTTGTAGATCCGCAGAGGAGCCGGTGCTGGTGTTTCTCGTTGAGGGTTGTGGAGCTGGAGATACAGGGTGGAGCGTTGTTTTCTAGTTTGTGGGTCGTGGAGCTGGAGACCTGTGTAGGAGCTGGAGTTGGTGTTTCTACTTGAGGGTTGTAGAACTGGAGACCTGCAGAGGAGCCATTGCTGGTGTTTCTAGTTGAGGGTTGTGGAGCTGGAGACCCGCGGAGGAGCCAGTGGTGGTGTTTCTCATTGAGGGTTGTGGAGCTGGAGATACAGGGTGGTGCATTGTTTTCTAGTTTGTGGGTCGTGGAGCTGGAGACCCATGGAGGAGCCAGTGGTGGTGTTTCTCATTGAGGGTTGTGGAGCTAGAGATACAGGGTGGAGTGTTGTTTTGTAGTTTGTGGGTCATGGAGCTGGCAACCCGTGGAGGAGCCGGTGTTAGTGTTTCTAGTTGAGGGTTGTGGAGGAGAAAACCTGCAGAGGAGCTGGTGTTGGTGTTTCTTGTTGAGGGTCGTGGAGCTGGAGACCCGTGGAGGAGTCTGTGTTCATGTTTCTTGTTGCAGGTCGTGGAGCTGGAGACCTGCAGAGGAGCTGGAGTTGGTGTTTCTAGTTGAGGGTCGTTGACCTGGAGACCCGTGGAGGAGCCGCTGTTGGTTTTTGTAGTTGAGGGTCGTGGAGCTGGAGACCCACGGAGCAGCCGCTGTTGGTGTTTCTAGTGGAGGGTCGTGGAGTTGGAGAGCCGCGGAAGTGCCGCTGTTGTTGTTTCTAGTTGAGGGTCGTGGAGCTGGAGACCTTCCAAGGAGTCAGTGTTGGTGTTTCTAGTTGTGGGTTGTGGAACTGGGACCCGCGGAGGAGCCGTTGTTGGTGTTTCTCATTGAGTGTTGTGGAGCTGGAGATACAGGGTGGAGCGTTGTTTTCTAGTTTGCAGGTTGAGCTGGAGACTCGCGGAGGAACCAGTGTTGGTGTTTGTAGCTGAGGGTCGTAGAGGAGACCTGCAGAGGAGCCGGTGTTGGTGTTTCTTGTTGAGGGTTGTGGTGCTGGAGATCTGCGGAGGAGCCGCTGTTGGTGTTTCTAGTTGATGGTCGTGGAGCTGCAGACCCGTGGAGGAGCCAGTGTTGGTGTTTGTAGCTGAGGGTCGTAGAGGAGACCTGCAGAGGAGCCGGTGTTGGTGTTTCTAGTTGAGGGTCATGGTGCTGGAGACCTGCGGAGGAGCCGCTGTTGGTGTTTCTAGTTCAGGGTCGTGCAGCTGAAGACTTGCGGAGCGGCTGGTGTTGGTGTTTCTAGTTGAGGGTTGTGGAGCTGGAGACCCACGGAGGAGCCATTGTTGGTGTTTCTTGTTGAGTGTTGTGGAGCTGGAGATACAGGGTGCAGCGTTGTTTTCTAGTTTGTGGTTTGTGGAGCTGGAGACCCGTGGAGGAGCCGGAGTTCGTGTTTCTAGTTGAGGGTTGTGGAGCTGGAGACCCGCGGAGGAGCCGGTGTTGGTGTTTCTCATTGAGGGTTGTGGAGCTGGAGATACAGGGTGGAGTATTGTTTTCTAGTTTGTGGGTCGTTGAGCTGGAGACCTGTGGAGGAGCCGGTGCTGGTGTTTCTCGTTGAGGGTTGTGGAGCTGGAGATACAGGGTGCAGCATTGTTTTCTAGTTTGTGGTTTGTGGAGCTGGAGACCCGTGGAGGAGCTGGAGTTCGTGTTTCTCGTTGAGGGTTGTGGAGCTAGAGATACAGGGTGGAGCATTGTTTTCTAGTTCGTGGGTCACGGAGCTGGAGACCCATGGAGGAGCTGTTGTTGGTGTTTCTTGTTGAGGGTCATGCAGCTGGAGACCCACGGAGGAGCTGGAGTTGGTGTTTCCAGTTGAGGGTCATGGAGCTGGAGACCCATGGAGGAGCTGGAGTTGGTGTTTCTAGTTGAGGGTCGTGGAGCTGGAGACCCACGGAGGAGCCAGAGTTGGTGTTTCTAGTTGAGGGTTGTGGAGTTGGCGATACAGGGGGAGCATTGTTCTAGTTTGTGGGTCGTGGAGTTGGAGACCCACGGAGGAGCTTGTGTTGGTGTTTCTAGTT